TTCTGAATTAATGCAAGCACTGTATGCTTACTGAAAAGAGAGATTCCTAGCTTTCCAAAAGTTCTATTTCCACTCTGACAGTATCAGATCTTAAACTGTTAATTCCAGGACCAGTAGCATCTATCCCACATCCCAGACCACTAAAAATTTATTTAATTTTTTTTCCAGTAAGGGAGACAGAAAAGTTTCTAGTATTTTGGGAACAGAATAATTTAAGAGGGGTAGCCATTCTACGTTGCTCACAGATGTAAAGTATTCAAATAATGTCCCATATGAGACAGATTTCTGAATTAGGTGCAAATGATACAGTGAAAGGCACATGACAAACTGGAGAGCTACATAATTTGTATTTATCACAAAAGCATCACCATGTGTGAACAAAATCTAATCATCTACATGTTACCATGATGATAAGTAAATTATCAAGTCACCCGTTGTCAAAATGTTACCTTCTACAGTTTCACAATGTTCAGGTATGTTTGTGTATATATACAAACCCTCACTACAATTAACTATGACATTTGATACAGGGAATACAGCTCATTAAATATACAATACCTTTCTAAAGCTGCATAGGCTCTATTCTGATAGTTGAGCTCAAAACACAGTTTTAGCTCTAAGTCTCTTCCCCGATTTCATATACCTGCTCCTCAAGTACTGGCTGATTTGCATCCCCTTAAAAAATGTAGCCATGGGTGTAGCATAAATCAATTTAAAAAGAAAGAATGAAAGAATATAGCTACTAACTGTATTTCAGTAGTTAAGAGAAAAAAATGCAAGTTGCTTTGTATTTCCTTTGTTTTACTAAAATGTTTTTACAAACATGTCATCTTCTGCCAAAATTTTCTAATTTTTAGCCGTAACAATCAGACTTTGAGAGTTTAAAAACCTAAGTGATACGCTACAATCTAATTTGCACAAGTCTTGCAATAACCATTTTTTATTATTAACTATGTCAAGCTAGCTTTCCACACTTAAAACATAATATACCAATAGAGTCATCAGGAGCATAAAAAAAAGCTGTGAGAAAGAAATAAAACAAAACCTTCTCTTTATTATTTACAAACTCAAGGGCCAGTTATTCAAAGCAACTTCTTAAATCATAAAGAAAATGTTTAATTGCAATAAATTATAAGCATGTTTCCCAACCTTTTGATTCAGTATGACAAAAGTTGCTAATACTGAAGTTTTGTATAATAAATAAAAGAAATACAGTAACTTTCACACGAAAAGTATATGCAGACTGAAAGCTCACTGGAGCACTGACTTGCCTTTTAAGTACTGATTAGTACTATGTAATATACATTTGTCCTGGCTAGGGCCTCTTCATTGCAGAGCAAGAAAAGTGCCAGGAGGAAAAAAAAAAAAAAAAAAAGAAGAAAAGGAAAAAAAAAGAGAATGCCATGTAACAAACATTAACTAACAATTATTTTGAAGAAGTAATCCTAAACATTTCCACAATTATAAAGTTACACGTTTTACTCTGGTAAAACATAATCAAGAAAAGCAATATATCAAGCCACATGACTGAAGCTTCTGGACTTTCTTCGGTATTTGAAAAAAAATTAAGCTGTTCAAAGCCAAAAGTGGTTTTCATTTTCTGGTGCTAATTTGTGCTTGTTCCAGGCCTTCCTTACAAAAGCAATTAACAGATTTCTTTTGACCTTCATATAGCAGAAAAATTAGAATTGCAGTTTAAGCAATGGTTTAGTTGTGATGTCAATGTTGGTTTGTGATAAAAATCCTGGAAAAAAATTAAGAAAAACCCTACATTGTGGGATCTGCCTTACTGCACAGAACATACACGTTCTGCCCTTCCATAATATACTGCAATCCTACTTACATTTTGCTACTCATGCATACTCTAGCAGTCACAATAGGTTAGATGCAACTGCACCTGATACAGAAAACAGAACATGTAGTTTCAAGGTCGTATAGCTGTATGAATCTTAAAAACAGATAGCGATATTTATACAAGTCATAGAAAATCACATTAGCTACACAAGTGTCTCCCTGATGTTTAAAAAAGAATATTACTTGGTTTTAAGAAATGTGTTTGATTTGAGGACATTGCTTACACATACAGTTGAAAATACTGTATCTTTTTATAAAATTAAACCTAGATGAACAGCTGACAGGTTTTTTAGAATTTCAAATTCTATCCCTAACAATTAAGAACACAAACAACAAAATTGCAGGAGCATTTACCAAAAACAGGAAAAAGCACCAGGTCTCTTTTGTTTAGTATTTTCAAAGAGCAACACAGCCCTCTAGTGGAAAAATTAGAAATTATGACTCTAGCCATAAAAGTAGCATGCTAGGGAAGTATTTTCTCTGTAACCTAACTGATGTTGAGACCTTTAAAACAAACATAAAAACCAAACACATACACAAAAAAAAAAATCGCACACTATCTTTAATAATTCCTCACAGCGGAATAAGCCTTACTGACTTCAAGAGAACAAACTGACAATTTACACTACTTATGTTTAAATGTATGTAGAACAGTAAGTTTTAAAACCAGAAGGACTGACACAAGACTAAACTGTTCAATAAGTTAGTCTTACTTTTTTACTACACCACCTTTACCGTGACCAAAAGTTACCTCAACTTCTAATGCGATACTCAGGCTGAACTTTTGATTTAGCTTAAAAAAGTAGATGAGAAAGAAAATCCGAAGAATATTTGGACTGCACTGTCAGAAGAATATGATTCCAAAATTTAAAAAAAAAGAAAACATTTTACTAAGAACTCTTGATCTGCTATGATCTCTTTATACTGTAAGAACAGAATAATTCATTAACCTTTTCTAAGTTGCTAATGAAAACTAATGAAGTGTTTATAAATCTAATTTTTTAGTACCTTTTTTTTTTCCTCCACACTTTTTGCAGCAATTTTAAGGATTAAGTTAAGAAAGTGGGTATGTAATCTAGGAAATTCTTAGTCAATATTCCTGATCAGTAATGAAAAGAAGAACCACAAAGCAGATAGTCTCCCCATTTCACAGACACATTAAGAGAAGTTAATGGCAATGAAGTAATATTTGAGAAACTCATACTAGAGATACCACTAAAACTTTACCACTGCTGAAGTTATCCAAAATATTCTCTCAGTAATTAGATAAGCACCTCTGTTTTTCAGATTAGGAGATTTTTCAAGTATAAGGGGGGGAAAAAAAAAAATGTTCCTGGCAAGCTACGTTGGATTCCCTGTATTAGATTCACAAATAAAGTCAATTAACGTATTGCTCCATCTTTGTTGATCTGTTTTTAACTTTGCTATCTTAAAGTGGTGTATATGGATGAATTTAAAAAAAAAAAAAAAATGCTATGTTTATCCATCTTTCATGAGATTCTCAGCATTTTCCAAACTTTATCTTGAGTATCCAGCAATGCAATAGTTGAAAACGCATTTTTCTGCATTTTGATAGTCTGCAGCCTACTAACTTACACCTTGATCTTTGTTCTACACATCCTGAAATGAAAAATTTCTCAGATAGACAGATACCATAAAGATAGTTTCAAATATACCATTAAAACAGTGAAATGACTGAGTGGGGTTTTTTCTTACATTATTAAGTACAAATGCTAAACAAAATCCATTCTTTTTCAATCACTTTCTACTTAATGGACAGCAATATTTCCTTTGAAATATTTACACTTAATTCTTAAAGAAAGCATGTCAGCATTCTGAAGACACAGTAATTGTTTAGTCCTCAAAACACTTAGGGAGAGAAATATTAGCTCTAAAATACACAGAGAGTTTAAAATAACCATCTACAACACAAAGTGAAGCACAGCACTGAATTCCTAAAATAACTGGGGGATAAGCTCCAAAACTGGTAAGACTGTGCTTGAGCTACCTAATTAGTATTTCCACATGGAGTCCCAAAGTATTGTGTTGATATACCAAAGCTCACAGGATCTCTGCAGCATAGTCCATTACATGACAAGGACACGTTCAAAGCAATTTGCCAAGAGTCACAAAGCATGGCTAAGAGTTAAGCTAAGACTGATACATTTTAAAGACTCAGACAACAGAGTTTCAAGAAAACTTTGAATTCATCCAATTAATTTGGACATAATTGGCAAAGAACACTATTAGCCAACCCCAAAGGGGGAGCATTCCCTTCACACAACACCAAGGAGTTTGAATCTTGTTTTTCTCCATCAAACAGGTCAATCAGAAGTCATTACCAGTATAAGCCCAGCTCAGATTATATCCTCTCTCAGAAGCCCTTAGAGATAGGGAAAAAAGAACATAGATTACATAAGAATTGTAAACCCTAGAACTACTTTCTCCTGTTTTAATATCTGTGGCTCCTCCACAAATTTAAGCCACAGAAAAAGACATATCCCGTGCAGGTTGCTGAGTGAAACTTCAAACAGCCTAGCAAATTAAGTTGGAGAAGAAATCCTATCCTCTAAGAAGAAAGGCAAAGCCCCTAAGCACCAAAGCTTCATTATAAAATGAAACAAAGGCAGCTAATTAGAATCTCTCAAGTAGTCACCCACTATAGAAGTATGTAACAGATACCTAAACAAGCTGAGTGTCTAAAAGGATTTATGAACCTGCTAGAAAATACAACTAACAGGGATTTCAAAATGTCTTCCCTATCCCCCCCCCCCCAAGGAGCATCGAATATGACATTCTGACACAAGTTCATCATCAAGTTGACTTGAAAATACTTTCAGAGATAAAGATTCCACAGCCTCCTTGGAAAATCTTTACCTGAGTTTTACTTGCTGCTATTCGAAAGTTTTTCTGAATACTTTATGTGAACTCCCCTGCAGCCATAAGCTCCAGATTCTCCATGCTTTTTTTTTTTTTAAAGCAGTACACAAACCTGAACGAAGTTTTCTAACTAGGTTTTATATGGATATAATGCAAATCAAGTTTCAATACCAAAAATACAGACATTTAAACAACAACTGATCATGTGAAGGTAGCCTGTAAGATAAAGATTGCCATATTTTACCTTATGTGTAATGTTAACCTACCTATTCCTGAATTTGCTCCCGTGATTATAACCACTTTTCCACTCAAGTCACGACCCTGGAGTATTTCCATTGCAGTACTGTTTCCATCATATTTTTGTCTAGTAGTAGGTTTTACTGGATTATCTTCAACTGTAAAGGCCAGTCTTGGGTCAAGGTAGGTAGTCCTTTTGTTTATGTGGCTGCAAAAGAACAGAAAAACTCAACTGCTTTGACCCCTCTGTACTGTCCCTTTAGATTGTAAATGTATTTCAATCACTGTTGTGTACAGTTCCTGTGGATTATTTAAATTCCAAAAAAACAAATTTTTTTTTCAGTTTTGTTAATATGATCCCCATTACTTTATCAACTCTTTTTCCGATTGTGACAGCATCCATTAATAATTGTATTCACATACTTCACAACATCATTCTGAACTTCACGTGAACCCCTGACACAGAAAGCAGAATTTTGTCAAGGGCAAAATCACATTATATTAGGGAAGATCATGTTCTCTTAGGAGCTCTATAAAAGGAGCCTACACTACTCCCTTGAAACAATACACCAATGAGAAGTATACCTCAGTACTTTTTCTCAAACAACTGAAAAACAAATAGTTTCACATCTGCTCAGCAAATGGCAGAGTTTGGATCAGGCTCACCTTTCTAAAATGGAGTTTTAATTTTCTTCAGACAATTATCAAAAAGCAACAAGTTTCCTCAACTCTTAATTACAGGACAGAAAGGCTACACTTAGTATTTTGGCCTGTGAATATCTTAAATTTACTGGGCAGAACGAAGAATAACTACTCTATTTTGACCCTGCCATTGAAGATATACAAAAGATAGTGTCCCAGAAATCTCTTTCAGCTTCTATGAACTTCCTCCTCCCTTACTTCTCTAAAAATCTTTGCTAGCTCAACCCCCCTCCTTTCTTTCTGTGCTCTAGATTGCAGAGAGTCAGAGCTGCAGCAATTTTGTCTTCATCTTGTATGTTTAAAGCGCTACTGCAGTGTTAACAATCAGCCATGAAGTTCTAGATACATTTTTAAAGTTATACATACAGACTTCATAAATAAAGGTATACAAACAAAATAAGCTTAAATAAACATTGCCTGAGGGTCAGCTCACATTTGGAGAGATGTCTATGCAAGTCACTTCAACCTGCCACCCAAGCTAGTATTTCTGTGCACACGGAAGAATTCAGAAAACCACAAATGGGTGTTCAGATATCTGTAATATCTACATATGGATTCTGAAGTTGTACTTATCAATTTTTTGTCTTTCCAGCTGATATTGTCACAGTATCATAACTTAAAAAGGCTACCCAACATGAAACACAGTTGTCCTACTTGTCCATATTCTACATTTTGACATACTTACTCTACAAAATAGACTTGTCCATTTTCATCAGTCTCCTGCTCCCATCCATATGGCAGACCTAGGAAACACATAAAATGTTACCTGCTTGCAGACATTAGAGTACACTCAAATTTGAACTTAAGTGATTTCTCAGACAGATGCGGCAAATTTCAGCATTATTTCTGTGGGCAAGGCAGCTACCTGCTGCACTTGAATATTGGAACTTGAAGGAAGGATTGCTTCCCTAATCACACGCAATTACTCTCTAATAAAAATACAATATACAGGAGATCTGGTACAACTATAATGGGTAGCATATTAAATATATTCTAAAAATTCTTTACAAAGATTATTTCATGTTGTAGCACAAACCGACAAAATGCAACCATGCTTCCAAGTACATACACATGTCTATACTGCACACAGTTTACTATCTATCCCTGATAAATTAAATAGCAAAAACATTGAACTAAATGTAGAAAAAGTTACATGTAACACATATCAAAATTTGGAAGATTACAACCTTCAAGTGGGTATGGGATAAGTTAAATTGAAGTTGAAAGGACAGATAAAAGAACAAAAATGACAAATCTTTAAAAAATAAATTCTTAGATATAAAAGACCCTACAGAAGTACTGAACAGATAGCATTCCCAGTATTAAAAAACTGCTGAAAAGTATTCAATTATAATTTAACTGGCTCAAAATCTACTGAAAACATTCCAGTCAGTTACAGCCACATTACCAATGCCAAAAGAAATACGGTTTGCCAACAGTATAGTGCCCCTAGATATGCCATATAGCAGCTTCTGGGAAGATCTAATTTAAGGCACTGATCCAAGGTCCTTAAGATGTCATATACCTTTGGAAGTGTCCTGCAACATTGTTCTGGCACAAACATTCAATTGGGTTAGGGAAAACAAGTAAAATGAAAACTAATGGGACTTCCTTCTGTGCCAGGGATATTCTATGATCAAATATATTCTCTGAAGAATATACCCCAACTATAAATATTATCTGATGGACACTGGGATATCAGAACCCAATCAGATAATTCCAGCCTTTGACTATACACTTTACAAGCCACAGTAAAAAAAAATCCCTTTATCCTGAAATTAGTACATTGGCTTTATGGAGCAATACAAGAAAGCTATAAAACTGCAAAGTGGTCACTCTACACAGACACAATCACATAAGTAAAACCCCACCAAAATCAGCTGTATTTTGCAAGCTCAGTTTGCCTAGGTGATTAGCATCAACTAGAAGGTCAAAATGAGATCCAGTTCTTGCACAAATGCCAATTGATATTTGTAACAATTTCAGTTCGTTACAAAAGCTTCACACAAACCTCCTGCAACACGTTTCCTCTTCCCCGACTTAGGGTGTTCCCACTGTGTTTTTTCTTCCAGGTGGCTATAGGAAAAGAAGTTTAAGAATTTTAAAGATTTCCTAATATTTTTTCTGATGAATTTTTTTCATACAGTAAATACAGCTTAACTAATTTTTTTTTTAATATAGTTAAGAAAATGGCTTGTCTTCCACAAAAAAAGAAATGTGTCAATCCCTTGTTTAAGAAAGGTCAAAACTGCTATTAGAAGTTACCAGGCTTCCATATCGCCACAGTTCTGAAGGAAAAGTAACTAACCAGAGAGCACAGGAATCTATACAAATTCAAATAAGTGTTTGACTTCCAATCTAAGTTTTGTTGCTTACAATGAGAAGAAAGAAAACCAAAAGTCATTAAAGAATAACATTAACAGACTCAGAAAATGTCTCAAAAAGATGGTGATCCTTGGCAGGAAAAAGAAAGAAAGAAGCAAGAATTTATCAGAAACTAGTAGAAATAATATTATAAAGTTTTCAAATTGCAAAGCACCTTTCTAAAAATCTTGTCTAATAACATTGTTGCAAGTTGCAAGGTAAATACATCTTGATTTCTGTGTGAGCAATTGCATCTTTGCACAGATAAGTTTATCCAAAGGCCTGGACTAGCAGACTATTTATTTAATATGGGTGACAATGGTATCACATCTCTTCTTCTAATTCAGGTATTTTATTCACTTAATCACTAACAGAATTTATATACTCTACCATAAGGTTTTCTGCACTACAGGCTAATAAGCAAAATGACGTGCATATAAACAAGGTCTTAATACACCCAAACTTGGATATTAAAATCTTGTCTTTCATTAAATATTTTAAAATAATAACCAAGTTTTTATATGAAAAGTCAGGCAGGGATTACTTGAAAGAGTATCCAAATTGATAGCTTCCCAAGTATGAAATAAAGACTGACAACATTATTAAATAACATACACAAATAATCACTAAACTACAGATCTAGTACCAACAGCAACTTACACACAATATAAGCAACTTTTCCTTCTTATAATAATCACGCAGTTAGCCCACAGTGACAGCACTACAGGAACCACAGCTGTACGTCAGTACATTTGTGTGAACCACAGTAGCACTTGAACTTCAGGACATCCATACACTAAACACAGAAGATCCTGAGTTCCTCCTGTCTGATGTGAGATACATAACCAAATTACCATAGCCTGACAAACAAACGCATGTCCATCGAGCTTCGGTAACTGACTAAGTGCATACCTAACTCATCACAAAGACCTTTAAAAATCTTAAGCCAAAGTAAACTTATTCCAGCTAAGTTTAAAGTTCATATTGTTGATGAGGTTTAAGAACAAGTTTCCAGAATATGCAGAGGTATCACAGATTGAGTTCATATTAAAGGTAGCAGCAGTGAAACACCTCTTCATGTCAAATATTTTTTAGACACAGTGGGCAAGATTTTCAGCCAGTAAAGATATATTAATGTCATGTCGTTAAACTGAATCAGTTGTTTCACAACAGTTAAAACCCAGATCTATTGAATCAGTTTTGTAACAATTACATTCAGTAATCTCTTATGTTTTGCAGGTTTGCTACTTTCACCAAGTGGTTCCTTCCTGAAAGAGCTTTTGAAGTCAAAGGAAATAGTCAAAGGTCACTGAAGCTTGACCTAAGAATAACAAACAACTACAGAGAATTTGCAGTGTTTACAAACCAAGTGCTGATAAACCAAAACATTCTGTCTGGTGTTTATAAAGCAGAACTTGGGAAAAAAAAATGCCAACTCACCACAGGTGAGAATGTACTGTACTTTCCCCCCCTTTTTTGTGGAAGGGAGTAAACCTTGCAGCTTTAAACAGACTGAAACAGATTCCAAGATCAGCACAGCTACAGAAACCACAAGAGAGGAGAAAACATATATATTGCACTAAGATAGTTAGCCCTGTATCTCATCCCCTTTTGTAACCAGTGAGGATACAATCTTTTTCACAGAGGCACAAGCAGATGGTGCTAAATGCAAATTTTTCTCTCTTGTCAAAGCTGTGGTATACTGAAGAGCTGAGGGAGAGCATGTATAGCTTTTAATTTGCATCATACCTGTTTCTTCTCTATTCCTACGAGAAGAAAAACTAAGAAAACTACAATATTGTGTAAGGCTCAACTGCCTATATGTATAAGTGTACTGCAACAGCAACAGCTGTGTGACAGCTCGCTCCTGCACCCAGGAGTGTCTACAGCCG